GGCTCCGTCCGTGTAATATATTTTTAAAAATTTAGTTTAAAACTTATTAAAACTAAACATCCTACAGTATTTTTACAATCTTTATTTTATAGTTATAATAAATGTTTATTAAATAAAGTCTAATGTTACAAATAATCGTGGATCCCTTTAAAGGTAAGAACCGGAGGACGACGTCTGACACCCTCGTTTAAAAAAAAATCCCCTGGTAACATCTGGAAACATTTAAAGGCAGAAACCACACAGTTTTTACCCACCGGTGGAACAAATACTGTTAAGGGAATTAAAGTTTTGTTTATGTTTTATATGAGTTCTTCTGAAGTTTTATGTTTATTTAAATATTCATGGCAGTGAACAGTAATAACGGTGGTTTAATGCTTTAGTACCTAAAATCAATAAAAGGAAGCAGCATTTATTCGTCTGATCAGCACCAACGTCCTGCTCTGCATTTTGAGCCATTTGAGCCGTTTCCAGCGGCTGCACAGCTTCTGTAGCTCACAGCAGAATCTCATTTCGCCCGCTGCTGTTCTACTGATGAATGGAGGATCTCATGCATGACATATTCAAGGAACTATATACATGTAGCCATGSAGCAGCAGAGAAACCAGCCATGAAGCTTGTAAATAAAAGCCCTTCAGCTCCAGCGCTGAACAAGTGTCAGAAAGGAAACACTCCTGACTTTCCTCCTCCTGCTACACTAATGTAAGAAAATGTTGTGTTATAAAAAATGCATGAAGGGTTTTTATATACTTTTTTCTTTTGCCAAGACTGTTTCAAATTCAAATCTTAAATTGTATTTCTTGTTCTGAGAGTATAAATATGTCCTTCAAAAAAACTCCCTGCCACAGCTGACGGACCATAAAAATGCAAAGTTCAGTTTATTTTACAGATATTAACCTAAACTCTATGGTAGTAGCTGAGAGTCATGCAAACTTTGACCTCTGATGGGTTTATATAAACTCTGGGTTTGAATAAACTTCATCTTGGTTTGATTAGTTTCACAAAATCTAATCTACTGTATTGGAGCACTTTCCTGCAGGGGCGGAGCTAGACTTTTTTGCAAGGGGTGGCCAAGGTGTTATCTGGTGGGGGGGGGGACATATAAATACAGAAATCTACCTTGGATTTTAAAAGTGTATGATGGCCATCACAGCTAATTCAGCTGTTTTAAGACTAATTGAGCTGAAATTTGTTTTGATGTAGCCGAGAATGATTGCTAGTACCAAATTTAAGCTAAGTGCTAATGCTAATTTTATAAAGGGCTATAATTCAGTTGTTAAATAGCTGAAATTTTATATAGTAGTAGCCAAGAATAACCTTTAACAAAATCTGAATGTAAACAACATCCAAGATGGCCACCAAAGCTAAAGTCAAATGGCTACAATTCAGCTGTTTTTATACATATTGAAATGACATTTGGTGTCGTGGGATTGTTGCTTTTATTTACAAAGTTGTTTTTTCACACACAGACAGGTTCTCTTTACAATAAATAAGTCATCTGCATTAAAATATTTACATAGTTTTAGCTGTAACCGACCATCTTTTATTGCCAAATGCGACCCACGCTCCTCCTTGTCAGTCATTTGGGGGCGGCACCTGGGGTGGCCAATCAGGTGCCAGGGATGTCACTTGCCACCCCGGCCACCCCTCTGGCTCCGCCCCCTGCCCTCCTGTCCTATTTCAGCTCAAATTAAACAGATGTAAACAGTTTTTACCCATAATGCACAGCACAGAGCACAGAGTCAACGGTGAAGCACGGAGGTGGAGAGCTGATGGTCTGGGCTCCTCACCGAAGGCTTCTGGAGTCAAACGTGACACAAACTGAGTGATGATGCAACAGAACAACAATCCCAAACAGCTGATCTACAGCAGGACGAGTCAAAAAGAATCGAATCAGGTGGAACCTGTTGTTCCTGCAGGTTCTCCTTCCATGCAGCAGCTCTGTTGTTTCTATCATTATATTCATTCTTTCTGCTCCCTGTTAGCGACCTCTGGTTTCACTTAAAAAGACTGAACGTCAGATTTTGTCCAAGATTAACCTTCAAACTGAACATTACTTTACAGTTTTTGTTTTACAGCTGAAGTAAATGTTTATTAAATAATGTTACAATTAGTCAGGGCTCCCTTTAAAGCTTAAAGGCAGAGAAGTAAACATCTGCAGTTAAATTAAAACAAAGATGTTGAATTATTTAGTGAGTCTGTCTTCATGTGTTTGTAGCAGAAAGTGTCACATGTTGAACCTGTTGTGTGTTTTTTACTCACAGGAGGGACGAAATTTACAGCTGAAGGATGGATGGATGGATGGATGGATGGA